GGCCTGGAACTCACTATGTAGCCCAAACTAGCACCAACTCCTCAGCCATCAGCCTGTCTCAGCAGGTGCTAGCACTGCAGGTTGAACCACCACACCTAGCTGAGGATCAAAACTAATGATGAGTTTCTTTGTCCAACTCAGTTTTTCAACAGAGACAACCCATCTTTCCTGTAAACAAAACTTCAAACAAAACTTTAGCAAAAATATCCTTTTTTTCCAATATTGACTCACACAATAACTTAAATTTTTAATTATAAGATTGTAAGAACCTATATTTTCCTTTATTATAGTAGCTTAAAATGTTGCCTAAACAGTCAACATATATTATTAAGAGAAAAACAAATTAAGTATAATTTATTATACTTTAACATATAATAAATTATGAGGTTGTCACCAGGTTCCAGAAGCCACATGATTCAGTAGGTATAATCCAAGACAAACTACATGACAATTTACAAAAAAAGTTCAAACAAGTGCAAACAACTGTTCTAAATAATGAATGGGCTTACAAGTCTATACCAAGCCCCAGAAGAATCTTCTTTGAAACAGGTATCCTGATTTGAAGGATTCTTTGTTAAAACTCTTAGAAAAAGAAAAAACAAGAATCCTGCTTTTCCCTTAGTTTTGATCCATTGCTTACAGCGGGTGCCTGACAAATGTTGATGGACAAACAGAAAAAAATAAGTTTTTTCTTGGCTTTGGTCCCCATTCAGTCTGTTTTCTACTTATATTCCTAAATGGTAAATGTGGTAACATCACCCATCTTCCACACTTCTCCCCATTCCTTCTTCGTGACTTTTACCCTAAATAGCAAGTTTTGGACATGGTCCAAACCTGGGCCTAGTCCTCTCCGGTGTGAATTAAGAGGTCCACACTGAAGTGCCTTCTCTCTGTAGCTCAAACATGCTATGCACCTTGCTTAGAACTCTGCCCCTTTGCCTTTCCGTAGTTAATAATTCTCCTCCACCACTTCACAGCCACATCCTTCTCATGTTTCAGATCTTAGTTAACACTCAGCAACCTTTTCCTGAATGAGGTCAGCACACACAATATTTAAAATTTTCTCACTACCACACACCATTCTTCAAAATATATACCACCATTTTAAGTCTCTGTTTTTTAAAAAAATTATTGTACCTGTTCACTAGAACATGAGATCTATCTATAAGCATAGAAACCACTTGTACGTTTACTCAAAATATTATTGCAAGAATCTAGTATTCTGGCACATACAAAGCAATCAATATTTTTTGAATAAAGAAATGAATAAATGAATGAATGAATGGATGAGTATGGCTGATTATGTAGCCACATTAGAAAGTTGTAGAAAAAAGGGAATTTATTTAATGACATTTGATGTTTATCAATGGTATTTATCATACCTTCATATTCAGCAATGTTAAGCAATGTTTTATGGTTCTGGTCATTTAAGAAGAAAGAATGCAAGACTGTGACATGGTCTAGCATGAATTTTAACAACCAGAACTTTACAATGGATGGAACTTGGAAATCCTCAGTACATGTATAACTTAATGTTTTATTGATTGTCTTTTTCTTCTTATTTCTAAGGTGGACAGCCATGGAATTCACTAATTCTTTCAAGCTACGAGGAAAGTCAAAATTCTTAAGTAGAAACTTATTAAATAATAATGGACCGGAGCATTTAGAAAAGTATAAGTAGTGAAAAAACTATGTAGACCATTAGCATTCATCACTCAGGGAGGATGACACGCCTGGACAGCTGAATTCTGAGGACGACTCTCAGGGTCAAAGAACATAAGCAATGCATAAATTTGGTTTGTTTCTACAACCAATTTTATATATACTATTTTTTCCCCTTAAACAACCTCTGTCAACCTGGAGGATAAATCTTATTCAGCCGACATTCTGGTGTCAGACCTGGGAATAAAAACATTTATGCTCTTATCCAAGCCCGGTTGGGAACTAGAACATTACATGTAAGTTATACTTTGTTCTTTCTCTAGCAGAATAGGAATAAGCAGATAAAATTTGCTAGGCCTAAATAAGCAGAGTAAGGATAAACAATGAACTCATTCATTAAAAATATTCCACAAATTCATATCAGGTGGTTCCAAAGCACTCTTGGGTGGAAAATAAAAAGAGGACTTTCTCAGTGTAGCCTTATTGTCTTTTTAGCAGTGTTTTTTGTTTTTTGTTTTTTGGTTTTTTTTTTTTTTTTTTACTGAATTTTAAATGTAAAACCAACTAAAAGACTATTAGACTATTTCAATTTAATCTAAAATTAAACTGTAGTTATGATCAAAGATAATTTCAATTTGTGTTTAATGTTTGTTTCTCTGTAGTTTTTTTCCTAAATTTTCTCTAATGAATGTATACTTACTTGCTTTTTTAAATTAGTTTTTAAAAAGAATGTGGCAATCAGTGTAAACATGGCTAGAGGCAGGGCTTTGTTTATACTTCATTCAAATAGAAATCATCTATCCCTAGCCATCAATGTATGATCAGTGTTGGAAGAGGCATTCACTCTCAATTAATTATTCAATAGTCACTTGACATGCATGAAACAGGGAAAATAAGCAAAATGGAGCCAATCCTTCCGGGAAGACAGACTTCTTTTACCGCTCCATCTTCCATTTCTGTGATAATCAAAAAAATCCAGACTTCTGTTTTCCCTCCGTAACTACTGGTCATCTTTGTACTCCATTTATCAGCTTAATTTTTCAAAATGAATCAATGCCCCAGAACAAACAATCCTGGTGGATTTTCATTTCTGGGTTGATTTTCCTTTTACATTAGTTACCATATTGTTTCAATATGCATCTTGATAATTTCAAATGATTCATCTATAGAAAGAACTACCCATTTACCAAAATAAAATGCATTTAAAAGACATCTAATTCTGCCTCTCTATAAAATTACTTTTTCCATGCTTTCTCCACTCTTAAATGTTCCTGATTATGCATGATCCCTGAATCCCTACATTAAAATGCATAGAAAAATAAGAAATTTCATTTAAAACACCCTCCCACACAGTACAAGCTGTCATTGTGTCATATTTGTTTCCTAATTTAAGAAAGGAAGTTACATTTCATTAAATTGCCTTCTTTATCATGTAAAGTGGCATTAGAATATTTAGTGCAATATTTTCCTACAAAATAATATTCTTTTCTGTTTTATTAATCAGTGCAAAGGTATGCAACTGCAAATTATGCTACTGAAATTATCACATCTATTTTGCTCATGATTTACAATTAAGGTAGATTTTGTAGAAGAAAAATATGTTGTTTTATTTTTTGTCAAACATAAAAATCTGATCTTACATCTGTGGAAATTTACTGGCAAAGCTGAAGTGCACCGTGGGCCATGGAATACACAATCATTTATAATTACTTAAGTCAAAATTATGCCTAGAAGAAAAATCCTATATGAAGGCAGTGGCAATAAAATCACCCTGCTTTTTTTTCCCTCTCTCTTTTGCTTTCTCCTTAATCTCATGAAGGCTGCAGAACACTCTTAAAGAACTGCAATTTTCCTTCCTAACTAACTCCCTTTGCTATTTAAACAATTGCAAATTTTATCAAGTCTTCATTTCTCTTAAAGTCAAGTGAGAGGGAACTGCCAAGTCTAATAAGATTTACAAAGGCTAGTTCCCCTTAGCAATGTCAGCAGAAAAAAACAAAGACATTACACCACAAAACAACTACACACAGAGCTTTTGTCCCTACAGCTTTCAAAACCAGATTTAATAATTCACCTTCTCCCCTATTTCAGCCACAAATGCCATTTATCCCTGTGCTGATTGCCTTGATCTGACCCATAAGTTATCTATCTACTTTAAACTGCCACTGAGACAGGCACATTTCATGCTTTCCACATCACTCTCCTGGTTTCTGCTCATACGCTTTTCTGTATTTATGCCACAATATTTTCCTTACTCGCTGTTTGGAAACATGGAAGAAACACTCAGAAGCTTCAAATTTATTTGTGAAGGGTTGAAAACAAAAGTTGCTATGTTTATTCTTGTTCAAATCCACAGTTTCAAGCCCCAAAAAGCACAAAAATTACACCCTGGCTTCCACTACTCACATAGATATCATTAGCTGAACATCCTTAGGAAATCTCTTGCCATGGATCACATGCGTCCTGTGCATTACCGTGCAGAAACTTCCCAATCTAGCAACATCTCAATTTTTCTATATCTCTTCTCAATGCGTTTGTTAATCAAGAAATATGTTATTTAATCTCTAGCATTTCTAAGCACTGCCTGACCTGTCTCACACTTCCAAAAAAAAACCCCGGAAATCCCAAAATTTTACTTAAATATGACAAATGGTGGACTTGGGGGATATAACCATGGAAACGAATACTATTTCCAAGAAAAACCTCCAGTTTCTAAATAAAATCTTCACAGCCCCTCATTTTTTTTTTTACCACAACCAAGGGCAGGTCGTTATACTTTGTGACAAGATGCAGCTGTGCCTGTGAACCCCTGTGTCTTTCAGTAACCACGTGGGTATTTTCCAGCACGACCCTAGGGGACCCTTCTAGAGACTCATTATCGTTACATGCGTGCTCCACCTTCTAGATGCTTATCTACACTTTAAGCCAAAACTCTGTGTCACACGTTGAGTGGCAGAGGAGGGAAAAATAGTGGCCATCTAGATAGACTGTGGACCTGTGAAAACAGGGCCAGCAGAAGGCAACGCAGGACAGAAGAGGGCCATTCTGCTCTGACCTGGAGGTCCACTTTGCAGACGCTCGTCTGCACCTCATGGGCAAAGTCTGGGCATCATGAGTTTAGTGGTGGGAGAGGAGAACAGCGGTCACCTAGGTGGATACAGGGGCCAGTGAGGCACAGCAGCCCAGGAACAGAAAGCGCCATTTTGCTCGGACTTGGGCCTCTGAGCTGAGACTGCGCCCGGAGTGGGATCAGGCCCTCTGACTCCACACAGGACGAAGGAAGGCACGGCCCGTGCACCGGACTTCCCGTGTCCCGACCCACGGCGCGGGGCCCTTACCTTGGCTGCAGTCCTCGCCGCGGAAGCCGGTTCGCGAGCAGTCACACACGGCGCGGTCGTCCACCACGGAGCACACGCCGCCGTTGAGGCACACGCCGCCCTCGCCCTCCTCGGCCTCGCACGGCCCCCCGCCGCTGGGCTCGTCGTCGTCCAGCCGCACCTCCGCGCCGTCCTCGGGCAGCGTGCGAGCCGCGTCCACGCGCAGATCGCGGATCCAGCCCCGGAAGGGCGCGTGCTCGCGCACCGAGGCGCGCGTGAGCTTGAGCGCGGCGGCCCGCAGCTCGGGCGGCAGCCCGCCCACGAAGAGGCCGCTGAAGACCGTCATGTCGCGGCGCTTGGACTGCACCTCCACCCAGCGCGCCTCCACGCGGTCGATGAGCAGCGTGGTGTTGCGGAACTGGCGGCGCAGGCGCACGCGGTGCCACGCGCCGTCGTTGAGCGGGGTGTCGGCCAGCAGCGTGGCGGGCTCGGCGCAGAAGATGGAGAAGCTGAGCTGCAGGCGGCCGCCGCGCGTCAGCACGAGCTCCAGGAAGTCGCAGAAGCCCTCGTCGTCGAAGTAGAGCACCAGGCCGCGCGCGGCGCGCGTCTTCAGCTCGAAGCTGAGCTCGCTCTCGCAGCACGCGTTCCACTTGGGGAAGCGCGTCCACTGGCCCTCGGCGCCCGGGAACTCCAGCCCGCTGCCCAGCTCGGCCCAGCAGCCCAGCAAGAGCAGCGCCAGGCACAGCAGCGCGCAGCCCCCGCGCTGCAGCAGCGCCGTGCCCATGCCGGGAGCCGGGGGCCGGCGGGGGGGCGCCGGGGCCGGCAGCTTCGGGAGGGGCCGGGGCACCGTGGCGGAGACGCTGGGGCGAGCGGGCGCCCTCCTGTATCCTCCTCCTCTTCCTGCAACCCCTTCCTCTCCCCCGATGGTCCCCGTGCGCCTGGAGCACGTGGACTTCGGTGGTACAGGGCAGCCGCGGAGCGCACGCTGGGCAGACCACGCTTGAGTGTCAGCAAGAGGTCACAGGAAGTCACTGAGCCATTGGTGGCCAGTGATGTAGTTGAAGAACGTCTAGGATGTGGACTCCTCAAATGCTGACATCTGCGGATACCACCAGAATGGCACGAGGTCGAAGGAAAGCAGGCAATCAGAAGAATGCTTTTCGCAGAAAATTACAAGCTAGCGATGTACCAGTATCTTGGGATTCTTTGAATGCTTCAAGTAGCTCCCCTGGGAGGTAGTGTCCCAAACCAGGACAGAGTGCTGCTTTTTAACCCCAGGGTAGCTTCAGAGACCTGTTTCTTCTGCCATTATTGTGGGCCTCCAGCGCAGAAGATGCTGCAGGGAGAGCCACATTCCTTGTGCTTGGCCTCACTGGCTGGAGTTCACTTCTCTTTTTTACCTCCCCAACGAGAGGGCTCAAACCTAGAAGTTGTCAAATAGCCAGAAGCTGTTAGATGTCCAAATCACAACAGCTACTCTTCTTTTCTCCGCCTCTGCAAGGCCAAGCTAAGAGGCCAGCACATCAATTGGTTGTGAGTTGACGATGCATTTTGATTTTGCCTTTTTATAAGGAAATCTGTGGAATTAAAATAAAAAAGTGGATAGTCAGTTACAGTATTATGGAAGTCAGTATTTCAGCTCAGAAAACAACAATGTAGCTGATGCTAGTCTCATAATAAGCAGAAGAATTAACCTTATTAGTTGGAGCTTTTTTGCACTAATCTATAAGACAAAGTCACACTCTTGCACAAACTGTTACACCATTCTATACTGTAACTGTTAATTGCTTATCCAGATTTATGCAGGTACCAATTTGATTAATGCTTCTCTTTTCCAAGGAAATTTAATTTTTAAAATCTATGAAGAGAGAACAAAGGCCCTTTTAAAAACAATAGTTTTAACTATATTTTGTGCCAGGTTCATGGACAGAAGACAATCTATTCAAATATTAGTGATAGCAGTTTTTACAATAGGTACAGTAGATTAAACTGTCTGCAAGAAGCTGCCACCTTAAATTTTTATAGTATTCCTGTCATTTCATTTTTTGGAATTTTTGATGGTTTCTTGAGAATCTCTTAAAAATTTAAGCAAGCATATATCTCCTTTTTATTAAAGAAATAATCTATTACAGGAGAAAGTATCTAATGAGAGCCGTAAATGTGTGTGCATTTCTAGTAATAGTTTGCTTCAATTGCCATATTAGTTCCTACAAAATAGGTACAGTGTTAATTTGCATAACTAGTGATCCAAGTCTTTCTCAAGCCACTCTCTGGCTGTCCATAGAATTTATGTGATCAGAACAGCAGTTGTCATCATGTATGTCACCTCAGATGCGATGGCTCTAGCATGCTAGAATTTAAAACCAGACCAATGAATCACTCACTGTTCCACTAAACCACCTCTCTTTATTCAACTTTAATCTGACATGTTCTTGAAATGCTATAGAAATCAAAAATACTGATTATTTTCTAAGTAGTTTTTTTAAGTCAAAATTACTCTCACTTCTTGAAAGCCAAATGTATCATTTGGTTATGTTATTTCCCTCACCACTTGTCCATGTCTTCGCCACAGTACCACACACACACACACACACACACACACACACACACACACACACACAATTTATTGCTTGGACACAGAAGCTCACTATCCAATTAACACTTTTTTTTTTCTACAAGCTGAAACTAGCAGTAATTTATGACACTGCATTGTGCTGCTGCTTTTCCATGGAGAGGGCTGAGAGAATTTCTCTTCAGTTCAGAGCAATCCCTACAGGTGTCAGCTGAGAGCCACCAAGCCAGGGGATCCCACTTCAAGTTCCTTCCCAAATGAGACTGATGACTGGTTTTCTCTCCAGCACGCACACGCGCGCGCGCGCGTGCACACACACACACACACACACACACACACACACAGAGTCCACTAGCAAAAGAAAAGAAAAATAGTTGCTTATTTATTATGGCTGATACATTCCATACCATCAGCAATTTCCAGTCATATCTTGTCTACTTCTGTGCCAAGTCCAAAGAAAGGTGCTCTTAAAAATCATCAATAATAGTGTATTATTCACTATAGTTTCGTTTTTTTAAAAGTGGAGTCAGGAATCTGCTAAATGTTCAGTAATTTGCAAAATAAATCTGTTTTTGGAATCGAGTGCTTTGAACTCATTCTCAAGCTTCTGTAGTAGAAAACCCTTTTTGCATGTATGTGTGTGAGACTGTGAAGGCTGATTATTTTATTATTTAATCTTACATGGCATAACCTTTTTCACCCCTATCTCCTGTCCTCCTTCACTGTTTCACACCTTGACAATTTTTTAATCGAGAATGAAAAAGGGGAAACCCTAGAAGACTATATTCCTACCATAAGGGAGGTCAACTGGCTCTCCTAGTCCTTAGATGAAGCTCATTGTGTGTGGAAATATCTGTATTTATATGAAACAAGAGGATTCTCTCTAGATGTCAGAAAGACCTGGTAAGTTCACAATGAAATAGAAGGGAATGAAACAGAAGGATCAGAAAAAACAGTCTTACTGCAGCCAAAACAAGAAGCGCTTTAATTCAAAAGCTAACAGCCTCATTAATCTTTTCTTTGATTTCTAGAATCAAATTCGTTCCCAAGTCACTGGAAGAATCAATACAATACACTCATTATCTGCAGTTGCATTTATTTTAATATTTATGTCTACACACACACACACACCTACCTTTGCACCCTTCAACATACATCTTCACAATGGACCAGAAATATAGGGTGAGAATTTTTAGAAGTGCCTATCCTTTTTGCCATATGTTTTTGCAAAAGTATCTCAATACCAGTGCACGCCCAAAATTCTCCCTGGCTTTCCCGCCCAGCTGCATCTCTAATACCAGTGCAGTTTCCTAGAGCCTGGAGTCTATAGCACAAATTAAGCATAGGCGTCCTGTGGACGGATGAGGAAACAGACAGATGTATTTTATTTATTTGTTTTGAGTTTAACCCACTTGTTCTTTTGATAATAAATCACTGCATTTAGCATTTAAGTTACTACCCCAGGTCCACTACCTCATCTTCTAGCCATGCAAAACAACCAAGATCTACGCTCCTCCACCCTCCCACCCCCCATCCTCGCCTTGCATTGGTGGCAGATGCTGGCTCGGTTACAACAGGGAAAGAGATATCCTTCTCCAGTCGCCTCGCCCCATCCCCTCCCCCAGCCAAACTGAGCTGCTTTACCTGCCCGGTTTCCCCCTTAGCTCCCGCCGGAGCCCGAAGCGTGCCTCGGTGAAGGCGGATTTCCTGAGGGTCTAGGGACAAGGCGACTGCCGCTGCCTTTTCAGAGGCGTCAGGCTTGAGCGTGTCTCTCCCTCTTTCTCTCACTCTCTCTCTCTCCCCGTCTCCCGGAGAGCGGGGTGGGGAGAGCGTGCAGCGAGAGAGCGGGAGCGGGAGGAGAGGGAGCGAGGGCCGGGCTGCGTGACGCCGCTGTGCCCGGGAGCCGGAGGGAGGAGCTGGCTCTGCGCAGCACCACGGACAGCGCCCCGGGCCGGCCGGGATGCTGTGGGCGGGCGCTTGCGGTGGCCCGGGATGCGGCAGAGGCGCAGGGGTGCTGCGGACCCGCGGTTCGACCTGGGCGGCCAGGGCGCGGAGGCAAGGCCGGGTTTCCACCTACCTGGGCAGCGCCCCCTGGCCGGGGAGCCCGTCCTGGGCGGGGACCTGCTGCAAGCGCCTCCGACTGGTCGCCACCCTCCTCCGCCCTCCCCCACCCGAGACACTGGAGGAGAGGGAACCGAGACCCGCGCGGCTTACTGAGCATGCCCAGACCCTGCGGGAGGCGATCCCGAGGCTCCGGGCTTTCCAGGTGGCGGGCGGGCAGGCGCAGGGGTCCCGGGGAGGCTGAGGGTGAGGGAGGGGACTCGGATGCAGCGCCGGGGCGGTGGACTGAAGCAGAAGCCTGCGGTCCACGATCCAGGGTCCCTGCCCCGCCCCTCACGGATCCCCGGCCCGAGGGATCGCAGCAGATTTTCACGCTCTGACCAAGTTGTGCCAAAAGGACTAGGGACTCACCGGGTTTGCACGCTCACTTGAGACCCGGCTCCGGCTTCCTAGTGGTGCAGGTGGCTGCAGCCTCTTATCCTCCAGCTTTCTGCGCTCTGCTTTGGCCCTGGGCATCCCGAGAGGAATCAAGTTCTCTACCTGTTTAACTCTCCCCTCCGTCTCCTCCTTTTGCAGCTGGTAAAACCTGGAAAAAGTAAGACTGCGAGGTCCTCACCGTGTAACTGGGCATGCCCAGAACGCAGTGCTGGTCAGGAACGAAGGAGTTAACTCGGAGGGAGCTTGCAGATTAGGTGGTGAAGTCTGAGTCTATGGCTTTAAATGATGGCTAGAGTCCTGTGGACATATAAATTCCTATTCCTGTTGTATTTCTACCCCGGGTTAGTTTTGGAGCAGAAACAGCAGATATTTTTATTTCAGCATCACAAACCCAATAACCTCAGCCTCAAATGCTATAAGGTAAGCCTGTTTGCTGCCTCCAGGCCCTATAAAGCAAGAATGTAAGAATTAGACAAATGCAAGAGCACCAAAATAATACACATTCCAAATGCAATATTAACTTCCGTCCAAAGAAACCAGAACCCATTTCTTGATAAGCCTGTATTCAAATACACTACTTCTGTAAGGGAATCTAAATAACTAGAAGGCAACAACCACAAGTTTTAACGTTTTTATTGTCTTAGAAAGGCAGTTTGGACAAGTGCTTAAATGTGTGGAAAATAAAATTCTATCTCTGACCTTTACAAATTGTGACCTTGACAAGATAGTTAACCTTATTATACCTCAGTCAGCTCCTCTGTAAAATGGATATGTTATTGCCTTCCACTTCATGTAAATGAATAAGTGAACATAAATATTTAGAAATGTGCATGAAGTAATTTCTAAGTTTTTGTTATTGACTCCAAGGCCACTTTATTCTACCTGACCCAGTGGAAGGTATTTCCTTGGAATCCAGGCCTCTGCCTATCAAACATGGAAATTAGCGATTGCCAGCTTTTCTCACCGGATCACTTTAGCAATATAATCAAATAATGATTTTAACATGGTTTTTATAAACACAAATGAAATTTTAAATGCAGCATAACTAAATGTCAGAAAAATATTTTAGCAAAAGTTACGAAGCCATTAAGTGATTATAGAACAAATAAAATGACTTGCTTGATTCAGGGTCTTTTAAAATTTTTTTTCTACCAATTATATATTGATTATAGAGTGAATAGCATGGAAGCTTCACTCAAATAGTTCTTGTGTTCAGCTAAAGCTAATTGCAAAAAAAAGTGGAATGGACAGCCCATTGTCAAGAGTAAAATCTAACAAGTCCCCATGATGACCTCATGATCACTTGTGTTCTCCATCAGTTATCACAGTGGTGGGAGCAAGAGGTCCAGAGAGCATTACTGTAGGTCCAATCCACAATTTTCACCTGGATCCTGTTAAAAAGTTACCTGTCTCTTGGTTCAGATGATCTGAACCATTATCTAGTTGAGTTCATTTGCCTGTTGTGAACTCTATCTTCGGTATGGCTACACAGTGTTTCTACTGATTCAAGATCTTCCCTGTGCTGTATTCTTCACTTTCCTGATTCCAAAAAGTGTTAACACTTTTATGCTTCACCCAAACATTTTAAAACAAACAGTCCTGTGTGGCCCTGGTGCAATAAATCTCCTTTGAAGCTCTATGTGGTCTAAAGAATATATGGACAGACCCAAATCTCTGGGTTTTCTTTTCCATTAAATCCACAGACAGGAAACTACCAATATATATTTAGAATAAAATCAATCATAATGTAATTTAATCATAAAAAGTTTTAACTTACTGAAAAGTGTGAGACCCTCTGTTATTCCTGTGAAAATTCTCTGAGCATGTGTTTCCTCATCAGTAATATGAAAATCAGGGCCCACACTTTATAAGACATTCTGAGGATAATACAGGGGTTGAATGTTAATTGTGCATACTCCATGCTAACCATTAATTTCAGTGCTTTACTTGCATTAACTTACTTAACCTTACAGCAATTCTAAGAGGCAGACTCTGGGATTTAGATCACTGTACCAGTAAAAAAAAAAAAAAAAAAAAAAAAAGTGAAGCACAGAGAGATCAAGCAAGAGAGGCAGTCACACACCAATGTGAGGAAGGATGTAATCTCAAGACTATGACTTTGACCAATCGAATACATTGATCACAGTGGTTGACATACTGCAGATGCCAAAATTTGTTAATTCGTTTTTTTTTTTTTTTTTTCCCAAGAACTTCACCAAGAGTGATTCAGAAAGCTGAAAAGTCAGTTTGGAGATATTGTTATGTCATCCTTTAATGAGTGATCCCATAAATATAAAGTATTTCAAATTTTGTATTTATAATTAATCATTAGACCTTATGGGTACCCTGTTTATAATGTGACTATAATTTCCTTTGTGGAAAAAAAATAACATAATTCTTCTGGATCTGACCTTGAAGCACTTTAATATTAATCAGAATGACCTAGTGTTTTTGTAGAAGACTGAAACTCTTATTAATTTTTTCTAATTCACATTAGGAAATCTACCAATTTTAGGCTACAGCAATGTGTGATGGGTTTTAACACCTGCCCCTTTCACTGCTCAGAACAATGAGATAATTGTGAAATGAAGGTAGCTGTTTATGATTATGTTTGATTGCAAAAATTTCTGGCAATCTAAATATGGAAACATCAATATGATCTCATGCCATAAACTGATAAACATTTTGCAACAATGATAATGGAAATATATAATCATTAAAAACAAACATATTTCCATATCTTAAATATTAATGAGCATACTAACTTAGAAACTTATCTACACTAAAAATAAATGAAGCTAAGTGATACAATTTTTTTACTGAGAAATGCATACACGGTAGAGATGCTATGTTTATTGCTGCAATCACAGCCTGTGCTTTAGCATTAGGAAGTCAATGTAAATACATACCTTCTCAATTAACGTTAAGGCACAGTGGAAGCTTTGCAATATCCGTGAATTCTAAGATACATATCAGTTTGGAGGGAAACCTTACCTATACTAATGCAAGTGATACAAAAATGTAAATAGGAGGAAGAATATCAATTTATATGTATAAGTACTTTTTTGTTAAAGATAATCAAAATGAAGCCACATTCAAAATCAAAATAATCACAATATAAAGAGGACATTACAAGATATTTCACCTGAATTGCAGATTGTCATTTAATTACAATTGCTGCATAACTGAAGTGCAATTGCTTCATTCTCAATTTCCTTTATTTATTTATTTATTTATTCGGACATGTCTCACTATAAAGTTCAGGCTTGTCTTGAACTCACTATGTAGCCCAGGTTGGCCTTGAATTCATGGCAATTCTCCTGCCTCAGCCTCCCAAGTGCTGGAGTTACAGGAGTGTGTCACCACGCCCATCTCTTCCTTTTTATAACTGGTTTTATTATTTGTGGTTAAATGTCTAACCCTAATACAGTATAAAAAGCAATAATATCTTACTCAAAATGGGTACATCTTGGTATATTTTCAGTACATTTAGGTCTTGGATAGTGCAGGACAGTTCTCCAGTGGACTTCATCCACCGTGCTCAGTCTCCTGAGCCCACGGACACAACAAGTCACAGGCTTCCATCACCCCTTGCCACCCATAAGTAATAATCTGCTTCATGAACTTGCAGTGGATGACTATGTCCTCCATCTCCAGGCTCACACTGGGAAACAATGTAAAGTACTCTTACTTAACACATAGCATATGAAAATAAGAAAAGAATATTAAAGTTTGTAGTGATTCAATATCAGCAATACTTAGAAAATACACTTATATATTATAACAACAGTATAGAACACACTTAGATTTTATGATTTATATGTAATTTCTACCAAGATAAAACATTAAAATACTAAGTTCACAGTCTTATCTGTTATTTTTTATTCATGGCTACTGAATTTAATTGATTGTTCAATTTCCATTCCCAACTAATTGTGTTAGTTTTTCAACTCATATGAAAATTAATTCAACATGTACTCCTTTGTTTTCTTTTGCACAGCTTTATGTTGTTTGATTCTCTATGTTATTCAGAAATAATTTGTCCATTTTAAATGCTACATTCAATTTTATAAATATATCAATACGTATTTACATAACTTTTGATAAATATTCTGAATATTTTCAATATTTAACTCCTCCAAATCATACTATGAAACTTTCATTTATGTCCTTTGGTGCATCCTCACATTCGCTAGATTCCTACTCAGGAACAGAATTATTGAATCACAGGTCATCTTGGTAATTGTTGCCAAAGTGATCTCTAAAGTTTCTAAAACGTATACTATGAAAATAAGTTGTGAGCATTTTTTGCTTTCTGAATAACAAATAATGATCGATAATCTTTATTTTGTATACTGTTGTTGATTTTGCTGGTATCTCCTCATGGTTTTATTTTCCAGATGAATAATGATTTGATTTTTCAGGTGACGTATATATTTGTTGGTTGTTAGGAAATCCTCTTTTAGAAGTAGCCTATTCAAATCTTCTGCCCATTTCTACTTTATTATCTATCTTCTTCAGTTAGTTATAG